CCACATGACTGAGTAGCATTGTATTACCAAGAAGCAAATGGTGGATTTGGGCATGTGTTACACATGTAATTATACAGTGCTTCTCTCTTAATTTGCTACATGCACATAAGTCTGATCGAGTCTCATCTACCATATAGTCTCTGACTGAAACTTCTCCCAAAATATTTTGCAGATTATCAAAAAAGTTGGCATGCTGGACGTGCATAATTGAATAAATTATTCTGGGTGAATTCTTAACACCTCATGGCAATTATTTTACCGCCATTGAGTATTGTCCAATCCTGTCATCATCAGTTCCAACTCCCAGTAGTAAGTCAGATAATAACCCAGGGACAGTGGTGATACATACATAAGTTAAACCAGAGGAGGTAGAATTTTGGACATATAAAACACAACCACCCTAACCATCAGTCAAGTGGTGGTTAGGCAGATCTTTACCATGTGTTGTTCACTTGTTAAGACAAATAGAAAACTGTCATCAATTTTATCATACAGTTATCAGTGGTATACAATGTATTATCTGACAAAGTAGTGAAAGTGAACATCTAAAAATGCTAATAAAATCATTAGAAACAACACATAATTGTATGTTGGTAACAAGGAACAATGAAATTTTGCAAGTGTGATCTAATTCATTTTTCTAAAAATTGTAATCCCCTTCTGACAACGAACCTTGAAGTGCATGACCTCATTAATCAATGCAATTTCAAAATGGAGGCAGGGTGGGGCACTTGGGAGCCAGGAGGAAAATGAATGACAAAGGGAGTAATAGTGGTTTTTGGTTCATAATAGGAAGGGAGATACTGAAAAATGGAGTGACAGGAAATTTAAATGGGATGAATATGCTAATGGATGATGTAAAGTAGTGCCAATTCCCTTTTGATTGTTTTTAATAAAAATCTGATGATTATAATAATGAAATAAATACATAATACCATATGCTGATGGGGGACGTTGTTACTGTAAAGGATAATCCCCACAGATTTTAAAAATCCTTTGTCTAAAAGAGATCATTAATCCCATGTAAACACAGTGTATTCTGGTACGATTACCATGTCCTAGCCCTGGATCCTTTTTTTTTAGTCCTGCAAAGAGGGATCATAATAAAAAATTCCTTATGCTGTTTCAATACCTTTCCAAAGATAAAATAGACACAATATTGATCATGATTATGAGAGAGAGAGAGAGAGAGAGAGAGAGAGAGAGAGAGAGAGAGAGAGAGAGAGAGAGAGAGAGAGAGAGAGAGAGAGAGAGAGAGAGAGAGAGAGAGAGAGAGAGAGAGAGAGAGAAGAGAAAGAGAGAGAGAGAGAGGAGAGAGAGAGAGAGAGAGAGAGAGGGGGAAAGAGAGAGAGAGGGGGGGAAAGAGAGAGGGAGAGAAAGAGAGAGGGAAAGGGAGGGAAAGAGAGAGGGAGGGGAAAGAGAGAGGGAGGGAAAGAGAGAGGGAGGGAGGGAGAGAGGGAGGAGGGGAGGGAGGGAGAGAG